ATAACATCATTTCTTATCATTCACATTCACTTTATATGAAATTATGCAATCTTCAATCATGATGTTTTTTTTCACCCCAACTTAAGTTAAATAATACTGGCTTAGGATAAACATGTAGTAAGCATAGTTGGTCTATGAATGTTTATGTGCTGTAGTCTGTTTGCAAACACGTGCAGTGTTTGTAGACATGTGGCGATGTTCGTAGACATGTCAGAGATGTTAGTAGAGGAAGATATAATTCAAGGAAGCTGCATATCTCATTCATTTAAGCTTGATTAATATTAAGCAAGCAAGATAAGTTTAAGAATACAACAGACGCGACAAAACGCCCACAATGACTTACAGTTGAAATTTATTGTGAAACTATAATGACATGAGTGAGATCATAGACTGCAAGTGTATTAAGATAAAATATAATTGTTACTGCTACTTCGTTTTAAGATAATTGATGTAAAGCTAAATGTTGTGCATGGACACATTCTCGTGAACAAGAAAATTAGGTTATTCCTGTCGCTTGCATTCCTCATTTGATATTTTTTATGTGAATCGTGCAGCGTGATATAGATCAAGATAGGATGACCATTGAATTCTATGGTAAAAATAATAATCTTTTCTATCTGTTAGCGAACAGTACCACCATGGTTAGAATATTTGATCCTGCGTAATAGCCGATTTATGAATTTCGATGATAGATATATGTGTTTGTAGACTAAAGGAAACCATGCTATGGTCGACTGATCAACATGCGTAGATGCATTTTGTTTTTCATATTTGATGACAATGTGAGATAATTCAAAGAAACTGAGCAGATTGAAATTTACTATCTGAGATTTATTCCTTAAATTTTGAGTAACGAGTCATTGCATGTCGCTCAAACACAGTTGTTTGTGGTCTGTAATTGGTTAAACGATTTTTTCAATGGCTATAATAATCGTAAATTGGTGCAACATCTGCGGGGTGGACAATGGTATTATTTTACTTTAATTTATTTAGTTTACTTTTGCAATGTGTCAAATATAGATTGCGCCAGCCCTACGTCATGCAAGGGCCGCGGAGAGGTTTGAAAAGTGAAGGGGTAAAAGAAGATCACAGAATCGGATTTTTGTTAGCAAAGTTGTTTTTAACAGTTTTATCAGTAATCATTCAATATACAAAATTTGTTTGATTTCGTTTGTAAAGTTTATTATAGTGCGTTCAGAGTGAGTATCCTGGCACGGTGCTCAGACACGGGCATCAGTATGAACACAACATTTTGATGATGCCTGTGTATAAGTGACCAAGTCTGGGCACCAGGAAAAGAGGTAGTACGCAAGTACGGTGCTCGGGCATGGGTCGACGACACCTGAGTAACGTGTACAGAGAGGCACGTATTCAGCACATGGTTTCAAAACTTATTTATAAAGAAAAACATGAAATTATAAATTGACGAAGCTAGTGGGTAGTACGTAGTGTGAAGGTCCTGCAGATTGTTTCCCGAACTAGGGTATCGTACTCCAGCAATCAGTCTAAACGTGCTATAATTGATCAATTTAACGTCAACTAAAAAATGAAAGTGGAACATAAGTGAGACAAGAAATACTGTTAAAAATACATACTTATCAACTGTAAGTATCTGTTAAAGCGAATTTTTATACTTTTACACTTTGCAAAACAAGAGACTTGGAAAAAGTGGGGGGCAATTGCCCCCCTTGCCCACCCCTTCTACGCGGCCCCTGTCATGGTCTGTAAAATATGACTGGTATAACACCAGACTAAGGAAGAATCTAATTAGTCTGTTTAAGCGTTGTTTTTCAGTCACTTATAACAAGTCATTTATTATATTAATAATATTGTTAAAAAAATGAATCGTGATCTAAGTAAACTATGAGAAGTTAAATTCAAGGCAATTTTTTATTTTAACTTGGATACTTATAGTATCCAACTTGGTACTTATGTGGTCGACTAGTACTTGTCGTCGTATTTAACAGTTTTAACTGCGAAATATTTTTGTAACAATGTTATCGGAAGAAGCGAAGCTGAGGAAAAAAACATTGACCTCGGTCTAAATAATTCTTGATATCATGCTAACCTCATCCAATAATTGCTTATTATTTCTCTTATTTGTTTTTCGCTTCAGTATCGCAAGACCTTGCTTTCGATTCCTTTCCAAATGTCATTTAAATTATTTCGCAGTTAAAACTGTTAAATACGACGACAAGTACTAGTCGACCACATGTTAAATTCACAATTACACACATCTGGTTACAACCTTGTAATAAACTAAAGTAAATGGTTTGAACCCGGGAGTATCGTTACATGTTTGTAAATGTAGATCGTCCAGGTTGGTATAGTCCTGAGAAGGACTGCTTTTGTTGTTGTTGACTGACGTTTCGACAACCTTAGCGGTAGTCATCTTCAGAGTCAAATGAGGAGTAAACGTTAGGTTATAATAAACTTATAATAAACTGATAGTAGTCAGCTATCCGACACTGCAAGCGCCCGCGATCATATTTTGTGTGTGTATAATGTATTTTGTGTTTGTATTTTAATTTTGTAGGTGTGTGGTGTATTTTGTGTTTGTATTAATATCTTTATTTTGTATAATTCTTATTATTTTGTTGGTGTCCCTTGTGAGCCACCGTAGTCACATGCTATAAAAGAACAATAGTAATGATATTATTTATATTCATGCTCTTCGACTATAGTTCAATTGTTTTGTGCTAGAGTTCTACTCGGTCTCAGGGTCTTTGTGATTATACAGTTTATAGCATCATATTACTACTATTTATATTTATCATATACATAACATTCTCACTAATACTGAAGATGGCATCATGAGACGTTAAAACATGTTTATTTTTAAAAAACTTGTCCTATTCATTAAATGCACGTTATCAATTGTCTTTTTACGCAGTTATATAGTTAATATACTTCTTCTCATCAAATGAAAGCTTCTTAAAATTCTTATGTCCAAAAACATAATTCCAAAGTAGCTATTGTATTCTTTTGTGAACTGCTTGTCGTATTTGGTCAATAACAAGAAGATTAGGATTTGTCAATAAAGTTATTATATTTTCAAGTCTTTTCAAATCAAATTCTTCTTTCAACGCACTGATAATATCTGTATAATTAGGATATTTCTTCTCAACTCCTAGACATCTGTAACGAAGTTTAGATATTCCCAAATTGCAAAATGTTAAGAGTTTTCCACATGAACACAACCAAAGTGACCGCTATTGTGCCATGGTGCGTTTTGGCAGATTTTACTTTGCTTATAAAAATCATCGTTTTTACATTGCTTGGTTTATAATTACGCACGAAGCGTAAATATATGTTTAAAAGTTAATTAATAAAGTGTTGATATGAAGTCGTGATTCCTCGTCAGGAAATTCTACGTATCTTGATGAAACTAGCTGCTAAATCAGTAATCACTTGTACATTTTAAAATGTTCCTTTTTCAATTTCAGAAAAAATTTTCATGTTGTATTTCTTTAGAAATGACAGATGGTCTTCTCATTAATTTCATGGCATTTGGTAACAGCATGGAGGAACGTTATTTAGCTACTGCTGAGGTTGAAAAAGAATGAGAGGTTTGTTGTGTGGTCAATTCTGCACACAATAAAAAATTTTGAAGCATTTACGCCGTATATTATTATTTTACATCTCAAGTATTTTAGTATACATCATTCAATAATCAATTTTAAGAAAAAGTTTTCTCTCATGAGTATTTCCAGTTTTGATCAAAAATGAATGAAAATGCGCAGTTTCGTTTCGCTCAATCTAGATATAAACAGTAAACATTTTGATTACACTCAAAGATAACTTTATACTAATTATTTGCATTCCATGGTTTTTATAAATAACTTGCATTCCACAATTTAATAAAATAGTTCGTTAAACGATGGCAAAGTCACCCTTATCTTTTAATCCAGCTTTGCAACTATGTTGTTGTTATTATTCACTGGAAAAACATCAAATGGAATTATTATTCCAAAGAAATAAAGGAAAATTTTGGTGAAGAATTTGGATAGCAGGAATAAAATTTAGGACAAGCTTCACTACTGGGGTCAAGTTTTAATATTCATGACAGATAAGGTTTGCTTGATATGTTATTCCTCCATTTTTATTTAAATGAGGAATTAAATTGTTACGACCGGCAAAATAGTCAAGGACCTCTGTATGCGTTTGTGTGCATTTCATTCACCGGAAGAACTGTTATTTGGTAAAATGATCATGACGAACAACATGGTGACCCCCTGAGTGTTGAATAACACTTCCAAAATTTGAAAACGCTTCGAAAAAATACATCCCCCCCCCGTCAAAAAGTACGCGACAGAAGTACGTGACATTTCACGACAGTGTTGCCAGATTGTGAACAAAGTTTATAGATTTATGAACTTTTGATTTTTATTTTGAATTTTTGTGAACAAAAAGAAATTTGTGAACATTTCATGAACTTTTACTAAAAATTTAAAACTTTTTATGAACTTATCAGTTATAAAGGACAAGGTTGTTTACAATGAATATACACTGGTTTAGAGATTCCAGACAAAGCTTAATTCATTCTTCAATGTTGATGTGGAGGGAATTTTTTCTTCTGTGAATGCAATCAAAACTAAAGTAAGAAATAGGTTGCACTTAAAGTCAGTGTGCGGTATTCTAAAAGTTAAGCAAGGAGTGAAAGAGTCAGGAGGCTGTGTCAAATATTCTCCTTCGACCAATGCTTTAAGTCGTATGACACACGACATTCTTTATGCTCAAGACTCTCACTCAAGCGACGAATCTGAATCGAACTAAATAATCGTTTTTCATTGCTATTTTTTTGTTATTTTGTACAAATGTGCAATGTGCATATTATAAATTTTGTCGATTTGTGAACATTGGTGGATAATGTATGAACTTTTGAACATGCCGACATGAACTTATTTAAAATTCACCTGGCAACACTGCTCGCGCGTGATCTACTTGTTATTTTTAGAGCTGTGGTTTGAATTCAGATCCTAAATGATTTATGGGAGGTTTTTTCCTTACGAATAAAGCTAATCTTTTCCTTTTTTTCATTTGGTATTAAAATAAAATGTATTTCGTTACGATACTGTAATCAAGATACTTATGAAGTCCAAGAAGCGGGACTTATCGAGCAGACAAGCGACGACACTTCGCAATGGCGCCGAATTTAAAGGAATATCCGTGTACAAAATATCTAAGTTAAAAAAGACACTGCACTGCGTCCAAACTTGATAAAACTGGGGCTTAAATCTAATTTTGTCATCATTGATCATGACAATGTACAAGATTGGTCTAATACTTTCAACATTAGGCTATAAAAAGCACACAAGACGGCAAAATATTGCTGAAAGCCGGTTTTAGGAGGAAGGTATGCGAATATATTCTATCGTATTCCAGCAAAAACAATGTCAAATGCTTGAAATAACGAATGAGTAGAGTGAGTTTAGTGTGGTTATTCATCCTATATGATTTTTTCTTTGAAAATATGAAAATTCAATTTTTGCCAAGAATATTTGTTAATTTATTCAAAATTTGCATTTGACCATATCTGGTGTATGTTAGTTTTCTCAGTAAATATTAAACTTATCCAAATTTTTCATCCCATGATCACCCGAAATTGAACCTTCTAAACACCTCAAACACTACAGAATTTTTGTTGCTATTTGTTTCAGGAAGTTAGAGCTATGTCGACACAAACTTTCTTTTGTCTACCACAAATACTTCTGCAAATTAGCATGTTAGTACAATGAAAATTTGTAGTGCTATTTTTTTGACACTGAAGGTTTAAATTTGGGGTGTTTGGTTGTATTTACTATCACAGGTAATGCGGTATGGTTGTTTCTACATTTGTCTAATTTACATTTAATGCGCTCCATTCTGAACAATATTGATGCTTTTTGGAAGACATTAAAAATGGTATGTTTTTCTTAACTACACTCACTTTGCTCTTCTTTACTCTATAAGAGGTCCAACAAATGACAGATAGATATTTCATCTCTAATAACATTGCGAACAAGACTGTCTGTGAATATTTGTATGTTATCAATTCTGCATAAGATGATGCCACTCTGCATCAACATAAACACGACATATAGTGATGGAGACACTCAGTTTTGGGTGAACAGATTTCTATTGTTTTATGTTACAAATACCTTGGTCTATTCTTGATAACAGTTTTTAGTTTTTAATTACATGTGAAAATTGACAAGTTTTTAATGGCAGGGACTCTTTGTTAATGTAACCAATGAGTGTGGGTGAATAGTTAACGTAAGTTATGACTTTTACTTCTTGTGAAAACGCGAGAAGGTTTAAACTAGTTCAAGTGCAATGGCTTATTCTATCGCCTCATTGTCTCAAACAATGCACAATACCCTTTAATTGAATTTTTTTATCTTAATTCACAGTTTTGCATTCCCAAGGTACTTTTAGTACTTGCGTAATTAGCTACTTTCAATTTATGAATAGAAACATTCCCATCAAAAAGGGAAAATTTTTGCCGGCAACAGACTTTGTAGAAAGAATGTATAGTTTACAAATACCAAGCATTTTCTTTTGGTTAGAATTGGAATTTACCACCAGCATAACAATTTTATATAAATTGCAACATATTCGTAGCATAATTAATATTCATGTGATTAAACCTTTCCTACTCGACAAGGTTATTGAAAAGGTTGAGGATCTTTCTCAGTGCTTTTTTTGTAAAAAGTCAAACGTTTACAACTAAAAATTTGTCGACCATAATCATTTGAGCTTTTTGAAAATACACCAAACAATTTTTTTCATCGTAAACTTATTGAAAGATAATCAAACCTTCCACACATTTAAATCAAATTAACATGGTTCGGCGGAGCCAAGCAACTATTAGTTATTACAAATGTCGAAATCAATTCACGTGAGCTCTTGAAAGTTTCAATTTTTACTACAGGCATCGTTTTTCGATAAGTTGTTTTCAGGGCATAACTTAAAAACATAAAAAACTGAGTAACACCCGACTCGCTTTATTTGTCTGATGTAGTTGATCTGTCACAATTACAAGTGTCAAGGTTATACATGTTATGCGCCGCATAGTTGCTCATAAAACTACTAAGCTCCATTTTTTTATTGTACTGCTGTATATTATTACTAACTACATCAACTGTATGGTTTAGAAAAGATTGTGCGAAAGTATCATCAAATGAATTCAATAATTTTGCTCTTTAACAGCAAAGTGTGTTGACAATAGCAAGCAAAAAGACGTGCTAATTTATGAGTATCATAATGGCAAACCAAATTCATTTCTTAGACCTTTCCAAAATAATTTTTGAGATCATAAAATATTTATTCCAAAATGTGGGAGAAATAGATCCATTCTAGAATGGTATGTGTCCTTTATTACATACTTCATATATTGATAGACGCGTTGATATAGGTTTGTTTACATTAGTATTATTTCAAACATTTCAACGGAAAACCACCTAGTTATCATCATTTTGTTCACCAAATGACTTCACCAAATGACTTCCATTAAATGCTTTAGTAATGAAAATTATTGTTTGGAGAATTTATTGTAAGCTGTAACAGTAATGGCAAATTGTTGTGATTTATCATAGAGCAATTGTGATGTTATCAACGAAGACATTCCTTTTAACATTACATGCTTAAAAATGTTTTATCTTGACGAGCACACTTGCTGAAGACTTTGGCTCATAATAATTTTTAAATAGGTTTTGAGTAATCTTAAAAAGTCGCTTGCAGAGATGTCTATCATGTCTATCAGTTTTATTTTCATAAGCTAAAGAACGCTAAAGTGTGCAATCAGGGCCAATCCTTCCGCTTAAGTAGTCCGAACTCCATTTAAATGTCAAACTTCCGTCATGTGTTCAAAAAGAATCAAAATGAATTCTTTTTTTAACTACACATGAACGTAATCACTATTTGTATTATAGACTTCGCACAATATCGTTGAAAACTCTTACAATCCTCCTATGTTTAAGCTTTAATTGAAAGTTTTCAATTCTGGGTGTTGCAGACTCGCAACACGTCGGTGTTCACCATCGTTGCAATGAAATCTGTCATTGACACCTTATTGTCGATTTCAGTTAACTTTTCAAATGGCGGTTGCCAAGTTACTTTCTAATGTTGCCAACTACATTTCCAAATATGGAATATTCGATATGAACTTGTCAACTTGAGTTGACAAGTTGTGTACTTGAGTACTGAAGTTGTGTACTTGAGTACTGAAGTTGTGAACTAAAGTTGCGAAGTACTGGCAAACGCGAAAGGTCTTTGTATCCTGTAGACATTTGGCAATGAATCCTTTCAGTAAGCAAGGAAAAGCTTTAGTAATTCTAATCCGTTTGATGGTCCTCTAAGAGTGTTATAATGCGATACGCCGTTTACATTATGTAAAAAATTTACTGTAAATGTGGCACTAGAAGAGTATCGTTGGATTTTAAATGCAGGAGTACCCTGCATACTGTGCCCTCGGCGTCTGTTGCCACTCGTAACAACTACAGGCGACTCATCAAAGAAATGCATACGGTTGCAATCCATCAATGAAATATTTGCTACGTAAGCTTCTAACTTCTCCATAACGTCCGGCCGTTCTGTCTCTCGGAATTTGACTTATTATCTTGTTAGAGTAACCAATATCTTTTTTCGAAATTTTACTAATGGATGACCTGCTAGGTATGTTTGCTGGAAGGCAAACTTTGTTATTTTCTAGGTGTTGCTGAATCTCTTTTGCGTAAATAGATGGTTTATTAATTTTTAGATATTCAGCGTATGCAATATCGTCATCTGTACGCGCGGTTCGAACATCACGTCCGGCCTGGCGAGGTGCAATAGAACCAGTGTCTACCCATCGATCTATTATATTTGATATAGTCTTATACGGTAGATTTAGTTGTTTCAAAATGTTTGTCAAACGCTCGTTATTTAACCACATTTCAAGTATTTCATTTCTTACTTCTATTAGTAAAGCTTTTCCTTGCTTACTGAACGGATTCATTGCCAAATGTCTACAGGGTACAAAGACCTTTCGCGTTTGCCAGTACTTCGCAACTTTAGTTCACAACTTCAGTACTCAAGTACACAACTTGTCAACTCAAGTTGACAAGTTCATATGGAATATTCGATATTTGGAAATGTAACTGGCAACATTAGAAAGTAACTTGGCAACCGCTATTTGAAAAGTTAACTGAAATCGACAATAATACTTGATAAACAAATTTATGTAATGCAGTGATATTCGCAGTGCAGGCGGCCCATGTGGTAAGCGCTATAAAAAAACAATGCGCTATATACTCCACACTTAGACCATCTTTTCTCATTTCACTAAACTATCTGCATATGTCACAGCGGTCATATCAACAATTTCACTCATGCAAGCATTTTCCTCAAGCAGTAGAATGACTCTCGTGAAGTATAATGGGTAAATTTTCGTTGAAGCTCCAATTTCTCTGTTAAACAATTCATCCCGTCAATGCCTTTAATGCAATTTTTTTGTATTGTATAATGAGATAACAATGATGTGGTTGACCAGTCGATTTGTACGCCACGTTAAGACGTTGCGCCGCTTTTACTTCTTTTGTTTTTTACTCTGACACTGTTTATAATAACATGGGCCAATTTAAGTATGCTTAAAACATATATTATTTTGGAATATATCTCATTTTGTACTGCTTTTTATGCCGAAAAACTGCAACATTTTTATTGCAGAAAAGTGATATTAATTAATATTATATTAACTATTATAAAAATATCATTTACAGTTTATATAGATTCTATGTCGAATGTAGTTTTTCAAAGATATTTCTTGTTTTACGTAAGTTATTTTTTCTATGTTAGCAGATGTGAGCTGAAATGAAGTTGGCTTTGGGTCTTCTCTTGTTGGTTGTTGTGACAAGATCGCGTAAGTTTTTGAAAAGTCGACTGGGAGAATCAACAAGAAATAGTTCGGTGGTAAAGGTTTTACTATTCAAAACTTGCTGATCTCATTCTTAGAACTTCCCAATATTTGCGTTGATGTCATTTGTCACAGATATGCAACATGTAATGACGGTGTATGTGTGTGTAACAATGGTTATTCCGGCAATGGAACTACATGTTTAGGTAAGAATTTATTTATGAATATCAGCACCTAATGTTAATTGCACTGTTGTGGAAAGGATGAGTTGGCAAACGTTACGGATAAGATGTTATTAAGAAAGTTTACAGATTGTTTTAGAATCTTTAAAAAGGGAAAAAAACATTTGGGTTCGATGTTTGCTATTTACTACGGAAAAAGATGAGAAAGATATTTTATACATTCCCAGAACTCTCTTTAAAGAGAAGTAAACTGCATACTTTTGTCTAATTCATTGCTATATGTAATATTTTAAGGAAGCAAAATTTGTGGTAGCTCTCAAGATGACTGTTCTCGAGATGCAACATGTACAGATACAGGACCGGGGAAATATCAATGTACCTGTAACGAAGGTTTCAGTGGCGATGGAAAGTCTTGCTCTGGTAAGTAGAATGTGAACAATCATACAGTTTGTCTTGTTTGCTGAATCTGAATCCGAATGTGATGAAAATCCAAGAACTTTCTGTTAAAAAAGTTGCATTTTGGTTTACTTCAGGTTTCTTTCGTAAACAAATAAGTTCTCAAAACAATATACAGGGTTTTCGTTATGGACAAAATAGCCCAATATAAAAGTTAAGAAAGCCATCACGGCAATAAATCATAAATAAAGATGATGAAAGTATTTTTAATAATTACGTTTCGTCTTTAACTTAAGACATGTTCAGATTAAATGATAGAAATTTTCACATGAGGCTTTAAATATAAGCATATATTTACAACGTGCTAAATTACATATGAGGAGAGTAGGAGGTTTTGGATGACAGAACTGAATAGAAAGGGCAACATATTAGAGAATGTGAAGGGTGATTGAGTTGCCTTGGGTGTTAAGAGAGAGTTTAAGCTTAGATATGAGAAGGCTTTCATGAATCATAAGGTCATAATTGTCAGAGGAAGAAGAGAGAATTGAGAAGTCATTAAAATCGGCAGAGTAATGCAGGGAAATGTGTTTGTCATATGAGAAAGAATTGCAGATGGTAGTAGACAAGAGGAAGGTTTCCCTGTTAAGGTAGAGATTTCCAAGTTTTCCGATATTCTGGTGGGCAATTGACGTGTGGTTTGACCCACATACGATGCGGGGCAGCATCGACACTTAAATGAGATCTTGTTTTGTATACTCAGTTGAATTGTCGATGGCCTCTTTCTAAAGGTTTCCTTTTTTTTATTTGTCGCTGTAAAATTATCATGCACAAAAAAGTGCAAGAAAGCATTTCAGCGTTGCGGCAATCGTTACAAAAATTGGAAACTTCATAATTGCGAAGGATGAAACACTTTGCAATCTCGCGTGAAATTTGTGTCACAAGGTTATCGCGAGAAAAATTGCATGGTTTAAATAATATACAGTTTAGCAAACATACACAAATATTATATTATTACCTTGTTATGTATTTCTATGTTAGTAAATTTGGACGTAAATTTATTTGTTTGGGCGAAATGTTTGATTTGACTTTAGCTTATAGCATTCGGTTAAATATTTTTTGTTTCTTTTAGTCGTATCAGGGGAGTCAAAGGCTGTTTGCGAAAAAGTGGATATAATCTTTGTACTTGATAAATCGGGTAGTATATACCCAAATGACTTTCAGTTGATGCGAGAGTTTGTTATTTCAATGGGAGAAAGACTGAAGGTTGGTGAGCGCAATAGTGCAGGGGAAATAATTGGTCAAGCGGCCATCGTCACATTCAGTGAACGTGGAAAAGTGGAGCTAACATTAAAGAGCAGTCAGAGACGAGGGAGGTTTAGGAGTGTTGTAACCAATATGCCTGGACCACGAAGAGGAGGGCGAACTAAAACCCATCGTGGATTGGCTGTTGCTGACATTAAGGTAGTTAAGAAGTTTGCTGGGTATCGGGAAGATGATCCAAATGTTGTGAAAATTTTTATGGTTATTACGGATGGTAAACAAACAAAAGAGTCTCGTCGTAGAGGATACAAATACGTCAGAGAAGCAATGCAGCCATTCTTCAAACGTGAGAATTTGAATGTGTTTGCTGTGGGTATTGGTTTAGAGGAAAACTCGCCGGCTTATAGTGAAGTTAAAGATATGGTTCAAAAGGACGAAAACGCTTTCCTTATGAAAACGTTTGAGGACTTAAATGACATAATGATGGAATTGTTGAACACGTCCTGCAATGGTAAATTCATCCTATACTACTGTATATATATTTCTATCTAATTGAAAGTATATTTTACTCAAGTTTATTCTACAATTATTGTTTCTTTTACTTACAATTTTACTTTCAACATTCCATTGATGATTATCATATTAAGACTTTAGAAAATATTGTTTGCTTTTCGTTGTTCAGTACCACCTAAGATATGTGGTGCATCTGACGATTGTTCTCCTCAAGCAACATGCGCAGATGTTGAATCTGGCAAATATGAATGTACTTGCAACGATGGTTATGTGGGAAATGGAAAGTTTTGCACGAGTAAGTTCATATTGTATACATCCAAAGTCATGGAATAATCAATATATCACAAAGGGGAATTTCTTTTAATAACCGTGAATGTTTTACGTCATCTCTTACTCATCTCCAAAATAATGAAGGTCAAAAAATGCATGCATGTTCAGGGAGATGGACATCACTTGCAGTCAGCAGTAGTTACCGACTAATAACTTTGACTATAAAATTTCTGGAACAACTGTTTGGTTCGTCAAAGCTTTATCAATGCATCAATCATTGCTTGACATAATACTTGCCTATAACAAAAAGTTGCCCTGCAACTAAAAAGTGAAAGGGTCGTTCCAAGCTTCCAACGGTCCTGAAATATACCATGTACAAGCAGAACCAATATTTTCAAGCTTTAACTATTTCAAATTGTAAATGTAAACTATTCCGTTAATGCTTGCTTCTTTGCTTGTAGTTCCTCCCATATGTGGTACTGCAGAAGACGACTGTCATCCTTCTTTTGCCAACTGCACAGACACAGCTCCAGGGGCATATACATGCAAATGTGTGACTGGTTGTATTGGAGATGGTAAACAGTGCGCACGTAAGTGACGTTTTAAGAATGAAAATTTCAATACTAATGAGAATACATGATTTTTTGGGTTTCTTTGTAAGTAGGGGCGTGGACTGTCTTGATCATCGAATTATTCAAATGCTAACAAATAATATAAATAGTTGAACAAATAATAAAACATACTCCAAAAAACATCACCTTGTAACTCGAATCTTGAGTTTACAAGATGATATTTTTTTCGAATGTGTTTTATAATATATTTTTTTAATTGACGGCTGGAAAAGGAGTTTTTTTGCCACGAAGCGAATAATAGTTTTATTGCTTCAGAGGTCAAGTTTCTGGCCTTTGGTGGAAATAGTTGATACACTTCTGGTAATTCCAATCATGTATAAATGCACGTGGCATGTTGTAGTTATATATAGAGTTGAATAAGTTGCACTAAGGCCCAAGGTCATTCTCGTCAAACTGACCGAGGGGTAGACGTCTCTCAAAGTCGGACGTAAAGTATCATTCCAAGTTGGTAAGAAAGAATCAAATGGTGATAGAGTTCCTATTTATCGTTATGTCAAGCTGTTTATCTAACATTTTAATATTTGGTCACTCCTTTGTACGTCGCTTAAAGGGATGATTTGAATTCAAATTTTGATGACCGCGAGTATAAGAACTTTTATCTGACGTCCTCAGGACATGTTTCCTTAAAGAGCATAAAAAGTCGAACTATCGACAAAGATTTCAAGCACGACTTATAATGGTTGAAAAGCTATAAGCCTGATGTGATAGTTCTCCAGTTATGTACAGATGATCTTTCCCGCCAATGTCCAGAGCTTGTCGATTCCATGATTCATTTCACTTGTTAAATTGTTCGGTGGCATATCGGGCTGCATATTCTTTGATTATGTAAACTAAAAATTATGATGAAATAAAATATTTTAAAGCTGATCATTTATTTTTTAAAATTGAAAATTTTGAAGTTATTGTTTCACAAATTCGGCAAAATGCCTATCAGGCAAACAGTAAAATTTCAGGTAAATTTGAAAAAATCTTTAGGTAAATATTTGATACACCCCCAGATTGAATGTCTTTGCGATGTCCCTGATTGAAATTATGCTTAAATATATACTGATTGTTTGTACAATTTGACACCGTAATTTTCTATGTCAAGGCTTATGTACTGATAACTTCATTTGCTTTCACACGAATCACGTGTTTACCTGAGCTATTGAGCTTAGATTTTGTGAATTTACTCCCCGTTTAGTCCGCAGCTTAAGAGATATCAATTTGGCTACCATTTTTGGTGAGCCATGATATTCTGCTGTTATATGTTGTTATCTTTATGTTGTCTCTCTTGGTATGTACTGAATGCGTTGTTTACAATAAAGTGCCGTTTGCTCTGCTTTTATGCGTCATTTTTCTTATGTTGGGTGGTAAATCCTCCATAACAAGTGGAATCAGTTTTGTGCTTGCAGGGTTTTTGCTAATAATTATTTTGATGGACAGCTTTCATGGAAAATAGCTATAATAATTTTCATAATATATTACCACGATGTATTAACAATTATACGGACATATTCAGTATACATTCATACAATGTCTTTATTGTCTTTCAGGAGAAAACTTAAAAGAAATTTATTTTACGGCTTTTTCTAATCTGCGCTGCATTTACCTTACCTGAAAAAGCAGCAAAAAATAATATGGAATTTGGCGCCAAATGAAATATATATATTTCATACGTAGCTAGTGTTGCTGTGAAGGCTCGTCTAAAGTTGAGGTCCAGAATTCAATGGCATGATATTCTATTTTACCTATACTAATGTGGAGACTTAGATTCAGATATCAGGTTAAAGTCATCGATAATTAATGCATCATGAAAAGTATCACATTTGCTATACATTTGACTTCTATTGCGCATTCATTGTTCCGAAAATGTGAGCAGATCATTTTACATAAACATCTTTTCCTTTCTCTATCTTCTGTAAATTATTGTATTTTGTTTTAGTGGCAGCGATTTGTGGCACTCCACAAGATGATTGTCACAGGTATGCCACTTGTGCAGACACGGGACCTGGTGAATATTCATGTACTTGTAACGATGGCTATACCGGAGATGGAAAGATTTGTTTGTGTGAGAGATCTATTCGCATGCTTGTATAATAAAGCTTCAAGTTTTTAGAATAAACTCTGGCTTGTTGTGCTTTCATTTAAAGTCATTCTGCTATCATAAATGACTGGCTTCAAACTCATAGTCTCTAAAATGCATTTCTCTAAAGTTTAGCATTTAGAGCTGCTGTCAACTGAGCAAATAATTGAGTGTTTTAGAAAAGAGAAGTCGTGTCATATCTAATAACTGGTCCAAAATACTTACACACCTTTAAATATTGTTTTTATATTGCCTTTCGACATGCTCTAACTTTGACTCTCTTTTGTTGTCATTCAAATATCAGCCAATTTGATACTATACAAAACTCATAGCTATAGCAAATGGTAAAAGCATTAAATTTAAATGGAAAAAGAAATGACACTCCTTATAAAATAATCAATATTTATTCCAAACGTTATTTATTTCTATTTAATTTTTTTCTATTTGTAATCTTCGAAATGTCCGCATTTTCTACTGATGATGATACCTTGTAACATGTAACACTTGTCAAAACGTTTAGAATAAATATTCTTTACTTTATACGGAGTGTCAATTGTTTCGTGTTTTAGTAAAACACTTTATGGCAATCGTAATTGAAGGGTAATATAACTTTAATCAACACTATGCATTTGAAATTTAAGCCTTCTAAATTTTTTATTAGGTAGCACTGGCTCCTGGTATTAAGATTTTGCCTTCGCAGAGGGATCTTTTGACTTTACAAGGAAATCCAAAGAATTACACGTATGCGTTAATGGACATGATTTGGTCCAGAGATGTGTTGGCAACACATTCCCTAACAGGAAAAACGTCCAATGCTCACAAAGATAAAACACCAAAGCCTTCATTGGATGCTTCAAAAGTTGCTGCACTGTGTGGTAAGTAAAGCTTTTAACCTTTATTTTTTTTAAGATGTATAATACAGTTTGTTAATACGGTCAGCCTTGAGGATTTTTTGTGGGATGGCTTTATGCAAATTGGAAATTAATATAGGTCCTTTAGAAAACTACAACATTTAATAGAATATTTGATGTAGTTACAAGTAAATTTGAGATGAATTGCAGCATGTTTCAAGACATATACCAAAAAACCAATAAAAACTATATGAAACTTTAAATTGTTTTATAGTGTAGTCAAAAAATTAGAGACTATGTACATGATATCACCCGACAGTTTCAAAACAACAAAAAACTAAGTTTGGGGGCGGAAAAGATGAACGCGTCTGCTTGCAGAGCTGACAGTTAAATAAAGTTCACTAAAGTAGTTACTACATTTAGAAATCCCCAGGTACCAAGTAGCTACCACATGAGCGCTCAAAACAGTGTTATACGGTCCCGCTCAGTGGCTATAATTTTAATTTGACATTCCACCAGGTATACTCTATGATTTCTAATTTTTTAAACAGATTTCTGTCTATTTTAGATGTGGTTGTAAAAAAATTTCGATTACCTGACAAAAAAATGGTGAAAGGATTAATAAAGGCAAAGCTAAACAACAGCGAAAGATGTAAAAAATTCAAAATAAGTGACAACGTACCAGATAACTGATTCTTTTTTATAATTTTATTTTTGATAGTTAATTTTCATGTTTTTTTCTAGTTATACATACATATACGTTATTTGTATTATTGGTAATTTTTGCAATTGTATTAACGTATGCAAGTTTTAAAATTTTTAAGTTTTATTAAATTATTTGAGTTTTCTGCATTATATTTAACGGGCATCTACAGTAATGTGTCTGTTTTTTATGACTTGTCAATCCTATGATCCTGTAAGAATTTATAGTCTTTTAGAGAGTCTAATAGAAACTTGTGGGGCAAAACTATGTCATTTAAAATCATGTAGAATTCCCTATGTATGTTCTAAGAACTCCCCATGACAATTAGATTATGTAGCAATTCACGTGAGATTTTATAAAAAATCCGATTAGATTCTGTTGTAATCTGTAAGCTATAGTTTAGCCTCTTTACAAATTCTTTTAAGAGTTTTGTGGGAATTTTCGCCGGAGATCTGGTACGAATTCTTATAGGAATTCTTGCAGGATGTCGTATTGCAGTTCTTGTAGGAATTTGTATAGGAATGCTTGTAGGAATTCTAATAGGATTTCTTTGTAAGAATTCGTATAGGAATTCTTGTAAGAATTCTTATATGAATTCCTATAGGTTCCTACAGCATGCTACACGTTGTTCCTATAGGCTCATGGGCCAATTTCCAATAGGATCCTATAGGAAGTTTTAATAGGAATTTGGAGATCTGGTAAGAATTCTTATAGCAATAATTTCTGTAGGAAAACTTGTAGGAATTCCAATAAGATTCCTTTGTAAGAATTCTT